TTTTACTATAAATTTAATTTTCTATTTCTATATTTTGTAACGCCTTCCGACCTCTAACTATTTCTCTATTTCGAAACTTCGCTTTATCTTAATTTAGAAAAAGCTCAGTCAAAAGGGGGGAGCTGTTATATCCCTTTTTACAACGCAGTTAAATCTTAGTAAGCATTTATTCAATCCCACGGTACTTTTCCTATATATGACGTCAATCAGTAATTGCATTGTTCTTTTCCATATTAATTTCATTCCATTTTACAGTTAGTTAGATTCAGAGCCCCGGGTAGATCGGACATAGATTCCGATACGTATTAGAGTTCGGAAGTCAGGGTTAATATTAATTGTGTGTGTAAACTTTTTATAATAAACCCTTAGGTTTACCTTGTGGTTTTTTTTTTTAAAAGTCAAACGGGATCGGCCTCCTAACAGTTCCCACACTGAACAAGTGTTGTTATGTTGTAAAATAAAGAGTCTGCGTCTAGATGCTTGTTTTCAACGTTAGTTTTTTTAAACGACGTCGTCGTCGAAAGTAGCAATGGGTAAGGGGGCCCGTCTGATTATATGCCACGCAGGTTCTGCAAAATACGGCTTTGTGAAGAACACGTTACTGGCATTTCAATCAAAAACCACAAATGACTACCACGAGGAAATGAATGCCACTACATTTAAAGAGTGGTTCCAGAACGTGCTTTTGCCCAGCCTACCAGAGCCTTCTGTAATATTCATGGCTAGTGCCTCCTATCACTCGGTTCAAATACAGAAACCACCTACCCAAGCTAATAAAAAAGAAGAAATGGTGGCTTGGTTACAAGCAAAAGGCATTGACGCAAATATGCAGATGCTAAAACCAGAGCTAATTAAATTAGTTAAAGAAAATAAAGTGGCAAATGTGCGATACGAAATCGATGAACTGGCTCTGGAGTACGGTCATCGCGTTCTAAGAATTCCACCGTATCATTGCCAATATAACGCGATTGAGCTAATCTGGGCTCAAATAAAAGGTTACGCCGCCCGCCACAATACTTCCCCGCCATTTAGCACAAAAAAGATGATGACCCTATTAAAAGAAGCCTGCGGGAAAGTCACAAGAGATGACTGGACAAAGGTTGTTGAGAAGACTAAAAACCTGATTGTGGAACATTTTGACCGAGATATCAGGATTGATTCTGTTATTGATAATAATATAATTATACATGTAGGCGAAGATGATGATAAAGACACCACCTCCTCAAGCAAATCGGAGTCTGATTAATATTCTGTACGCACATTCTATTCAATGTACTTTATTGCATAGAAATACAGATTGTAACTTTGTAACAAAGAATAAATAAAACAATTTTATTATATTAATATTACCTTTTTTTGCTTTCCACTTAAATTACTAAAATATAAATTTTAAATGATTCCGCCAATTTAAAACGAAAATAATCTTAAAAATAACGCGGCGGTTCATTTTGGAGGAACGGTAACGAACTCAGTATTATGTTGTGCCCATCACTAGTCGTGACTAACTGATAGGTTTCAGGAACGCATTCTCTGAACGGCCGAACTATAATTGTTCGTTTGTTCGTACAGTATTAACTACTGTTGACAGCAATTGCCATAATTATTTTTTTTTATTCTATTATAATTTAAGAGCGGCCAACCCGTCTAACTTTTCATACAAAAGCTTGTATATGATTATGGCGTTGTAATAGATCTTTCTTTGAAAATTTTAATATATAATATAATTAATAGGTATTTTGTGCACTATATCTAGGTTCTTATCTAAAAAAAAAATCTAAATTTGTAGAAACAAATTCAGTATAAGCCTCCAAAAATCTGCTTTTGTGCATAAATTTTACCTGAACTTTGGTCGTTCATAATGTACTCACTAATAGTAAAAGTAAAGAAATTATTTTATAAAAACCTCGCCAATGTAATGGAGACTGACTAAATGACAAAAATTTATTTCACAAACTTGTGGGTTACTGAAAAACACGTATTTCCTGGAACAAGTTTTATGAAATTCCCGCACACTATTTTTCGTTCAATAATATCGCGTTCTCACTTGCTTATTAGCCAAGTGGCGGTAAGAGGTATGCGGGAGAAAAGTCGTGCGGGGTAGGGGCGGGGTGAGACGAGGGAGTTGAATGACGAGCGCCGGTGGCGCACGCGTTCGGCTCTCTGGCCTCTCGGAATTGTTAGTAGGTATTCAATTTGTTGACTGCGCTTCATCAATGAGCCGTTGCATTTTATATTTAGTGACATCTGTTTTACCTACTACAACGATCTTTTTTTTTATACCGGACACTGATTTTGCTAGCGAAGGTTTAGCTATTTTATAATGTGAAACGAACCTGGCATTTGTGAATACGGACACAGACTTTGTTTGGATAAGGATTTTGAAGCAGATCGATTTTATTACTATTGAGAATGAGAATATTACTATTGTTATTAGATAATAATATGTTTTTTTACTAAATTTCCAATCACTTCTGACAGTAAACTCTTTGTGTTCGGAAATCGGAATCGTCTCGACAACCGGGTTGTTTTATGTATTGTTCATAAAGTGTAACAAAGTTCTTTAGAATAAAAATATATATTTATACCCAACTCTATTTAGACTACTTTATTTGTGATCAACCACCTGTACTACGGTACAAATTAGTACCTAAACAACATTTGGAGACATTTACATACGGTACAAGTAGGTACGTTACCTAATTTCAGCTTCCTAAATACAAACGGCCTAGACAGGTAAAGAGTTTATTGTTTATACCGCTACTCCATAAGCAGAATAAATTATTTACCTTTACATTTTCGTGCTCTGTTTAGGTATTACATGGACGAACAATATAAGTTGGATGGAACACCCTGCTAAAACAAAACTGAGTCCAGTTTATGTCTGAGTATTGATGTTTGCGCGTGTAACGGCCGACTAATATGTTGTGAATGTTTGCGTGCCGGGCTTGTACGCACGACGACAAATCAAGGTATATAAACCAGTTTATGCGGTACTCTTATTGTACGGGAAATTGAAACAAAGCGAGGCCATGTTATACTGGATATGTATAGCTTGATGTGTCGCCGAGTGTACTTACACACACGAGTTGGCCGACTCTGAGTGACAGTTATTTTTATTTGCGACATATTATTTTTTACATGGAAAATTATTTATAACATTATAAAATTATTTATAACATAAATAATTTCTTTAATATATTATATTTATAATTATAACATAAATAATTTCCATGTCAAAAATAGCGCACGTACGATACCTAGTTTGTTAAAAAAACAGCACACACATATCTCCGAGACCAAGTGGCACGTCTATACTAGACAAAGAGTAATATAATAAAATAATATGGTACCTACTAAATGTAGGCATGCAGAGAAATTTACAAAACTATAGCTATGCGCCATAGTAGCAAGCCCGTAAGTTACCGAATGCCAACCGAACGCTAAGGCGCTGTCTTTCTCTTTTCGCTTTGCCTCTTTTTCTAACATTGCGCTGGATGAAACAACAAGCTTTTTAACCATGCTCGCGTTGACGATAGACGGGCCGGGAAGGGCCCTCTTAAGGGACATTTACCGCTTAGGGTATGTCAGTCCCATCATACCCTAATATACATGACTTACTCATATAACGTTACTTAATAACTACATGGGCCATGGATTCGTACAGAACTTTCGTATCGTCGCCATTTGGTTGGGATAGAATATTATGGGATGTGCCTATATCAGTTCTGTTCAAATTCAAGACCCTTATGAAATTACTTCTAATAGAGGGATAATTATAAGTCGATGTCCTGCGAAGTATTGATACATCAAAAAAATATTGCCAGAAAAAAAACTTAATGTTGTTTTCTTTATTATGATTATATTTTCTTGAATTATAAATTATAATAAAAAACACAAATTTTGTTTGTAGTTAATTAAGCGCGAAATCTAGGGCATTTTTAAAGCGCTCTTTTCATGAAATCTAGCGCCTTTTGTGTTGTCCTAGGCGCTGAATGAGTTTTTTGATCTGGCAGCACTGACTCCACAGAGTACCTTTATATCAGTGTTTACACTTTTAGGGATTTTTCCCTTTTTTAGGGAAAAGTAAGTGAAATTGTACATGACTAGGGATTATTTTAATAAGACAGGGATTTAGGGAAATTCGGGGAAAAATCAAAACTTATGATGGTAGCCCTGTTATAGTATGTACAGACTCTATGGTGCTACCACCCACGGTTCATTTTTGAAAGGGAATCCCCTGTACTCCGATCTGGAGTAATAATCAGTGAAAGATGTGTTTGATAAATTTTACTTTTTAACGACAAAATGCAACATGCAAAAAGCAGATAACTAATGGAGAAATCAAGCTCTTATAAACTTAAAGCATTTTGGAGTTGAAAGCGAAGAAGAATTAAAAAAACATGCCAGCTGACATTTATTGGAATAAGGTTCTTCTAAGCATGAAAGATTATCATGGTAATTTCATTTACGAAAATCTTGAAGTAGTTATTTCAGTTTTACTACCAGTTCCATCTTCAAATATAAGGTAAAAAAATTATTTATAATTCTAAAAAATGTAAAAACAGATAAAAGAAATAGACTTTCTAACGAAACTCTGAACGGCTTGTTTCATACAAAGTTCGGAATGCAAGCAAACAATTGCTCAATTTTAGAGCCCAACAGTGCCATGATAAGTGCAGCAAAACATTACAAAAGTAATGCTTCAGCTTTATCTAGATTTCTTTATCTAGCTATCTGATCTGATTTTTGGTGATTGATCTTTTGTTGATTTATTAATAAATATTCAAAATAATAAATTATTGTTTAATTTCTCGAATAAACATATGCTCCTTAAAAATAAGAATTTTTAAGATCGTTTAGGGAATTTCCGGGATAAATCCTAAAAAAAATAGAGACAAACCAAAATTGTAAGTGGAAACTCTGCTTTATATATACTCTTTGCACTTGGCCTAAAGGTCTAGATGCCAGGCCATAAACTCCAAAAAAAAAAAATACTCTTTGCACCAGCCTGACAGGAATGTTGTGTTGACCTTTTAGGATAAATTTAATTATTTTTTATTTTTTATTAAATTTAAGTCCATGGTGACGTCTAAACGTAGTGATTATATTCTCTTTGGTGACGTCTTTAATTATTAAGTAGTAAGTAGTATGGAATTGTTAATTATTCAACAAGATTGAACAACTCACAAACTGGTTCTCAATAAGTTAAGAAGTCTGAGCAAAAGTCAAATTTTACTAGGAAACCGTTCAGGACTCACTGTAAAAAGAACACTAACCCATAATGCGTGATTGCAAGTGTCGATTAATGCTGCTTAAATTATTTTTCTTACTTCACGCGTTATCTTATTACATTATTTCTGCAGGGGATGGTAAGTGATTTATTAGATATATCTATATGGCAATGGATTAAAAGCTAAATATACTATTTCATGTAGCACTACAAATATATAAATTTTTACAGTTGGTGATAAGTGTAAGCCAAACGATAATGAATCTAATGGAAAGTGTGTGTTAATAACAGACTGCAGCATTGCCTTAATGTAAGTAAAAAAGCACATTTGAATTTAATGATATATTAAAAAGAAGAAAGATTGAGACTACTCGGTTTTATAAAGGTGTGATGTTTAAACTAGTGTGATTCTTGGAAGACCTCTAGAATGTGAGGATTATGGGGGTATTGTGTGCAATTATATTTGCAAATAAATCTTAAATCCAAGCTAAAATTGCAGAGCAGGGTAGGTGATAATAGGAGGACAATGGAAGATCTCTCCAAGGGTGAATTAAAGTGTAGACAAGTGGTAAAATTACAAATTTTGTACAACCGACGGCTTAGCTTTCCATTTACTCCCATTGAGTTGGGGATTGATACGTATTTTTACATAAAAGCTACACTATTATAAGCACACACATAAAGTTTCAATATGTGGAAACATGTACTTTTTGACAAAAAACATTATTTGAAAATTAATTATTTTTGCAATGTTTATGTTACATTCCTAGCGTAAAACTGGCGCCATTTTGTAATGTCATTGTCGTCGTCAGTACGGATGTCGATTCTTTCCGAAAAAGATAGATTTTTAAATCGATCCTAATAGTAAGCTGTCGTGATATCACAAAAAATGGATTTCTAAAATATAGATATATTTTCCTGTTTGCATTTATAAGATACCATAATAAATGATTTCTTATGGAAAAAAAGAAAGAAAATACAATAAATGATCTCTTATCAGTAAAATCAGTTTTAATGGCGATTTTCAAGGAAGTTTATTTTAACAGTACCTATTAGGGCAGATAATAAATAAAATAGGTTAGGTTCTACTTATGTCAAAGAACCAAATTTATTGACCCCGACTTCACGTGGTACGAGTCTGTCCTACCCCTAGAGTGGTTATATAGAACCGGAGGCGCGTAGGGGCAGTAGCCTCCGCCTGCTGTAACAAATCAAAAACAATGAGGAGGGATGCCTGCGATTTGTTACGCAAAGGCGTAGAGGCTGCTCTTCCCGCAGCGCCGGAGACGTTGCAGTCTCAAAATATATACAGAAATCCCTCTGAATTAGTCCCCCTACACCTCTTCTACCCTCCCTCTCCCCTCAATTCGACGAATGTCGATGGAAATTCGTAATAAAGTAGGCTCAAAAGGGCTAGAACCCAGAGCCGTAAAGCCAGTTAAAAAAAAGCAACAAAATATTGTTAAAATAAGTGATTTTTATTAATTTATTTCTCAAAAAATACGTGTTTCCGCATATTGAAACTTTGTGTGTGTGCTTATAAAAATGTAACCTTTCTGTAAAAATACGTATCAACACCAAACTCGATGGGAGTAAATGGAAAGTCGTACCCAACCGACTTCAATATAGATAAAATGTGAACATCATCAATGTAGTTGAAGTTAACTAAATATGCATTATTAAGGATGGATAACTCAAAAACTACTAGTCAGATTTTGATCAAATTTATATGGGGCCACGTGAGAAGCACCAGCTTTCAAATATAAAAAGAATCATCAAAATCTGTTCACCTACGTGTATTCTTCTGCGCGCGCCTTAGCGCTGCAGGCTCAGGCCTCGGGCATCTCCCCATTGCCTGGGTATTCATCTCAGCCCATAACTATGGGCCGGTCATGGGTGCCTTCTTGGCATTTATCTCTTACTACAGCGACGCTGGTTCGAATCCGGTCGCTGTAAGTTGGTATTCGATGTGTGTGGTATTCTAGTGTCTATGTTGGCCTTTCAGTGGCATTGTGGAATTTACTCGACTCCCTAATCTATATAGGGAGGAGTTCTCTTGGTAATGGTCGCCCGTCCGGAGGGCGGGCGTACAGCGGCGCGAAGTTGTTAAGGTGTGGGTGTGGCCCGTTGTCAGCGCGGTTGAACATACCGCGCGCCAACCGGACCACAAATTCTTCCAGGTCTTCAATTTTCAGGTCGGCCGCTATCACGTCGTTCCGGACGTAGCGACCAGCACCGACAATGGTCCTTAATGCCAAATTCTGTTGGACTTGCAGTCGCCGCTTCTGCCGGTCGCTCAAGAGTGCATACCAGGCCGGAGCAGCGTAGGTTAGTACAGGTCTTATGTAAAGTTTATATAGTTTCAATTTTGTCTTCAGTGGTAACTTGGATGCCAGTACGGGACGCAGCGCCGCCCGCGCACTTCTCGCGTTGCGGACTACGAGATCAACATGCGCGGTCATGCGCAGCATTCTGTCGATCCGGCATCCAAGGTACGTCACGGTCTTCTGGTATGCAATTTCCTGCCCTCTGAGCGTTAGTGGTGGTGGGAAGTTCCTGTAGCGGCGAGTGAGCAGAGCGGCCGTCTTACCAACATTGACGGCCATCCTCCACTCATCCAGCCATGCTGGCAGCAAGTCCAACAGCCTTTGCATCCTGGCGACTGCGATGTGGGCTCTTCTGGACGAGGTGAAGTAGGCGCTATCGTCCGCGTATAGCGCCAGTTCGACGTCGTCCTCCCACTCTCGCAGGTGTCCTTCCAGTGTTGGGATGTCGTTGGTATAAGCCGCGTACAGGACTGGTGACAGACAGCTGCCCTGTGGTACGCCGGCTCTGATGGTCTTCATTGCGGACATCGCGCCTTCTACGCAGACGTAGAACCTCCTGTCAGCCAGGAATGACGCTACTAGCCGCAACATAGCAGGAGGGATACTGGTTTGTTCTTCTAACTTGTAGAGTAAACCAGGATGCCACACTCTGTCAAACGCCTTCTCTATATCGAGAAGGACGCCTAACGATGTGCGGCCGAAATTATACTCGACCGCTAAGTAGTGCAGCACCCTGGTCAGCTGTGTTGCTGATGAGTGGTCCCTCCTGAATCCGTGCTGCTCCGCCCGAAGTTGGATGCACGGGCGGAGGCGTCTTAGCAGTAGTCTTTCTAGCAGTTTAGCTATGTGCGGTAGTAGCGTAATCGGCCTGTAACTGGCAGCTCTACGCCTGTCCTTCCCGGGCTTCGGTAACACAATCACCTTCCCTATCTTCCATTCCTCCGGGAAGTGGGATGTCCGCAATATTCCATTGTAGAGTCGACAGATCTCTACAAGTGTCCTATTGGGCAGCTGTCGAAGCGCAGCGTTGGTGATCCCGTCGTGCCCCGGCGCCTTCCTGGGTTGCAGGCGGGCTACTGTCCTCCGCAGTTCAGCGGGGGAGATGTACCACTCTCCTGCAAGCGGTGGCGCGGGCGATGACAGGAGCTCCTGTACGCGGCTCTCCTTCCGGGCATGAAGATCCATGAACTCCGCACTTGCTGGGTTCGGCATAAATTGCTCCTCGAAGTGCTCTACTAGGATGTCCGCTCTACCCTTGGCGTCATATCGACGTTCGCCCGCGTTGTTGGTCAGCGGGCATACGGCAGGTCGTTTTTTGGTCAACTGTCGGTTCAATTTGTAGAGCGACGCATCTTGCTCATCTGCCTTCACAATGCGCCGCTCCCAGGCCTCTCCTCTGTGGGCCTGGATTGCAACCGACAGTTCATCGGAAATCCTATTTAATTGCGTCTTCAATCTTGGGCAGCGAGTGCTCGCCCAGAGCTTCCTTAGCGCCCTCTTGCGCTTTATTTTCTCGCGTATTGGTTGCGGCAGGACGTCTCTTCTAATTGTTAGTGGGACGACCGTAGAGGCCGCGTCGAGGGCTTCTTTGATGGTGTTGGTTATTCTTGTTGCAGCGGCCTCTACGTCGTCCGCTGTACTAATGGGTGTAAAGACTGGAGGTCTCTCCTGCAGATGTTGATGGTAGAGCCCCCAGTCTATTCTTGTCTTGAATGCTCTGGGCGGTGTAGTCACTGCCCTGAGGCCAAGGGTAATTAGTATCGGGAGGTGCTGTGTGTCCATGTCATACAGCACCTCTACCACTATCGGGTAGTTGACGTTCCTAGAGAGCACAATGTCCAGTACATCCGGACTTTTACGTGTATCTGTAGGGACGTGTGAGGGTTCCTCGGGACCTAAAACGTCATAGTTATTCTCCTCCGCATCTTCATAAAGTGCACGACCCGGCGGGTTGATCAATCTTGACCCCCATGCCGGGTGTTTGGCGTTTAGGTCCCCGGCGATGATGGTGGGCGTTGTGCCTTCCATTACCGTCCGGACGTCTGAGGAGTGAAATGGAGTCCCTGGCGGGCGGTATGCTGCGTAGATCCTTAGTTCCTCGCCCGCCGCCTCCATTTTTATGCCGATGGAGCGCATCGTTCTGTAGTCTGGTAGCTCTAGCTCTTGGTGGACGATGTCTCTCCTCACTAGTACCGCCGTGCCTCTGTAGGCGGTCCCGTGAGGATTGACCTCGTCCCTCCTATAAATGTGATAGTTTGGTAGCTTCAGCAGCGTTGATGGTCTGAGTTTGGTCTCCCCCAGCAAGATCACTTGAATGTCCTGTTGTTGAGCGACTGTACGGAGTTCATGGATCCTCTGCTGTATCCCGTCCGGGTTCCAATAGAGGAGGCGCAGGTTACCGTTACTCACCTCCGTAATGCCGGGCCAGTATGGTTGCGAGTGCCTTCATTACGGCGGTGATGGGATCAGTCCCGGTCCTTATGTCGGCCAGGACTTGGGTGCCGACTTCGATAGCTAAGCCTACCAATCTTTGGATGGCATCAGCTGTCTCGAAGTCGGTTGATGGTGCTGGAACTGATGTTCTTGTTTTTGGTACTGGCCTCGGGACATTGAATTTCACAATCGGCTCTTCTTTACGTTGGGTAGAGCGCGCTCTATATGTAGAGCGGGCTCTATGTTCCGATAGAGCCCTTTCCGGCGCTCTACCCTCGCTTGCTTCTCTCCTAGTAACCTGCGCCTTTGCGGCTGTTGTTACTTGCGGTGTCGGGGTAGAGGTCACAGCCTTAGGAGGTATTGGCTGCTCCTTATTTTTACGTTTCCTCACCCGCTTCCTTTTCTTAGAGGATTGACGCTCTATTGCGTCATTAACGGGTGGTTGTAGAGTCGCCCCTGTGGTTGCCTTCACTTCTGTAGGTTCCACAGTTTCCATTGGTATTACTTGAGGGGGGGGGGGCTGGTTGCCTCCCCTTTTCTGTTACTGTGGTCCACCCATCTTCCTGTATGGTAACAGCTCTTGGGCGACTCTGTGTAGTTTTCTTGGGGTCCTCGGGTAGTAGTCCCGGCAGGGTGATCCCCTGCCTCCTGGCAACCCTCCTAAGGACTGGACAACGTCTGTCGTTTGCGGTGTGGTTTTGCGCGCAATTTGCGCACGTCGGCTCTTCCTCTCTACCCCGAGGGCAAAGGGCGGCGATGTGCTCTCCTCCACAACGAACACACTTCACTGGCCTGAAGCAGTTGGCAGAAGCATGTCCGAAAGCCTGGCAACGGTGGCATTGTGCCGGTCCTTTCTTTTTCTGCCAGGCTTCAATAATTACTCCTCTCATATAGAGGAGTTCGTTGGTGTTATATAGTAGGTTCAGCTGCTCCAGGCTCAGGTGATCCAATTGTGCGAAGTAGATGCATCCCGGCCTGCCTCTACGCGGCGGAATGGCCTTAACAAATTGGATCGGGAAGCCCTTTGCCCTAACAGCCTCCTCTATGGTTTTCGTGTCCGTTCCTACTGGCAGCCCCCTGATGCCCACTTTTGTGGGCTTCTCCTCCTCTGGGGTGAAGCAGTACCAGGACAAATCTGGTGTTGCTCCGGAGAGTTCTTTCATATATCTTTGTATGATACGAAACTCCTCCGGGCTCTGGGGCGTGAATCTTACCCCCTTCCCGAATGGGCGGGCATTGGGGGCGTGGCCTAATTTTTCCGTAAGTGTTTTGAAATGCCCCGTCCAATTCGGGAGGCATTCCACGACGATAGGCGGGTATCTTGCCTTCTCTGCTTCTTTAGCTGATGTTGGCTCCTCCGCCGCCTTCGTTCCTGGTACTGCGGGTGCTGCTGCCAGCTGGGCATAACTAGTTGATGGCCTCTGTCCATCATCTTGTGGCAGTCCCGATGGGTTGGGATGAGGCACGGGCGATGATCGTCCGGCAGATGCAGCTAAGGTCGCATATGTTGTGGACCCCCAGCTGTATGACTCTTCACCTCCCTGTTCTTCATGGGCCGAGTCCATTTGGCTCCTACGGTCCGGTGAAGTGTAGGTGGCTGGTTGGGGTGGCGACGGGGACTTCGGCGGAGTCCTCTCCTTCTTCTTCCCTCTCGCAGATGGTGGTTCTTGTTCCTCTTCTGAAGATGAGGAGTATGATGAGGATGATGAAGAAGATGGTGGCACCGGCGAACCTATGCACTGCCTCTTCTCTTTTAGGGAACTCTCCGTTTCAGGTGGGGTGTGCCTTCTCGCCGACTTCAACGGCCGCTGGGGCTTGGGCGTCGATTCCAACCCACCCGTATGCTCAGATACGGTGGGTTTGAGCTTGGCGCTCGGTGCAGCCTCCTTGCTCGGCGAAATTGGCTTCGGGTTTCGTTTTGGTATGTGGCTGAAGGACTCCACTACCCTGGAACGCTCCGGGTTAGCTAGATCCTTCAGTACTAGCGGCCTATCAAGTATTCCTGGACGATCCGGTGGTTTTCTTGCACGAGGGGGTGGGGGGGGGGGGCTCCCCCCCGACCCTTTACCAGTCATGTTACGCTATTTGGTTACTACTGTTTTGGTTGGTGGTGTACGTGTGTCTTACGTCTATATACTTTACCTAGCAGGTTGCTCGATGCGCGCCGCGAGGTATAGATGGAAGCAAAGATAGTCGACCGCAACACTTTGGCGCACTGCCTACCCCTTTCGTAACGAAAGGGTTGGGGGAAGTGCTCAGGTGGCACTTAAAAACGCGACTTAGACACTTAAAAGCCGAGAGCGCTTCAAGTGCCAAGAATCTGCCTAAGGGCCGGTGACCTCGACGCCTCGCGGAGTATGCGGACTCGACGCTTAGCGGAGTATGTCGTACCGGCGGCTGCTTGGAACCACTGCTAATCCACAAACAGCACACACTTAGGAGATCCTTAATCTGTTCACCTAGAAAAATGTTCTAGGGTAACACATGACAGTACCTCCGCCTTTTTGAAGTCAGTTAAAAAAAACATAATTTTTCAGATTTCCTAAAGGCAGTGGTTTAAAGTACTTTTGGTCTGTAAGAAAATATTTAAAAATGTTCATAAACAAGTAAAACATCAGAAACTAAGTAAAAAATTAAATAATTATGTGTTATTTCATAAATGTATAAATCAGAATCAGTTGGTATGAATCCCCGATATATATAGTTCTAAACAATGTAGAAAATGATCTTATTTTATAAAATTTGCTAGAACTATTATACAAAAATTTATCTTCAAAGCTATGGATTTCTGCACTTTGATATTTCTGTATTTGATACATCTTTACTTACCCTTCTACCATAAAAATTTATGTTTGTTGTGTTTGAAAATATGAATTTGTGTTTACAACTGTATACCAACAATTTTGATAGTGCTGTTGTTGATTGCTCGCTTAAAATCTGCATAAATATTTACAGTGAAAAATCTTATACATGTTAGAAAATAAATGAATAGAAAAAGGCATAATATGTTTTAAGTAGTTGAATAGCCTATGTTATTGGTAAATTTAGTACAACTATTATAAAGATAAATAACATTATGAACAGTTGTATTTTTTCAATTTTCAGAGAGATTAAACTCAAAAACTTCCATAAGTTTAAAAGATGTGGATTTAAAGGCCTAATGGAAATTGTTTGTTGTCCACAAATATCCACAGATAAATTTGGTATGTAGTTGTTTCTGTTGGCTTTTAATATTATATAATAGATTTTCTTTCTGGATCTTTCCCATTGTATATTTGTATAATACGAGACCTAAAATTTACTCGACATTGTTTCACACTAAGCAACTAAAGTAGATAGCTAGTTCTCATAGTCAAGCATATTTGCTATAATATGGTGGTGGTGTTAAGTCCTACATTCTGTTTTTCTCTTTTTTCTCACTCAGGTTTTTAAAATATACATAAGGAAATTCTGATAATTTGTAGTACTCAATAGATGACGGGACGACTGATTTTTTTTATCATCATCATGATGATGTTAAAATAATCAGTCATTTAAAAATCCCTTCTTTCATCATAATTTTAGGGGAAAAAACTCTTGAAGTATTATAAACTTATTTTAATCAAACTCATTATCAAATATTTGTGACTTAAAACAACAATGCAACAACATGCTTGCCCACCAAAGACCACTTTTTGGACATACTGTGAACTTGGTGGATTATGGTTATTTTAAGTTCTTGCCATGGTTGAAAATTGCTCAGGTGGACATATCATCAGTACAATAATTTATTTTATTTGTTACCAGTGACTTTAAATGTGGCATCATTTAGATTTATTTAAAGTAATCATCAATGAGCATTTATTTCCAGATGTGTAGCTTGCAAAAAATGTAATGAAATGTAGCTTAGATCACTCCTGTCATTGATCTCTATCTGTTTGTGCAGTTTCAGTTCAACTATTCTAAAGATTAGCCAGGAGTCAGGACAGACAGACAGACAGACAAAAATTTTACAAAAGTCTGTTATTTATGTCTCATGGTAATGTCGATAACGCCCTGAGCTCAATAAATGACAGTTATTTTGATATTACAGACATACATTTCAACTTTAATTATATCTATGTTATAGATATAATTAAAGTGTTGGGCGTCCCCCCACTAGATGGAGTGACGACCTGGTAAGATATGCAGGAAGTCGATGGATGCAGGTGGCTCAGGACCATGCTTTTTTGTGGCATTCCTTGGGGGAGGCCTATATTCAGCAGTGGACTTGTGAAGGGCTGTAATGATGATGATGATGATGTTATAATAAAAAATGTATCAACAGCTGCTAAATCTTTAAAATAAGTATAGATTTGTTTTTTTAAATAACTATATATCTGTGAAGAATAGAATCATTTTATTCAATATAGCTTACATGTAATTTTTATTAAAAATCATTTTTACTTTTACCACTTGGAAAAAAACTCTGTCCTGGGAAAAACCAGCAAGAAACCCAGGGGGACTTTTGTTTTTCAATATAATATTTTATATAATTACTGAAACTGACACTAAATGAATCATAGGAAATGCACATAAAATGTAGTTTACTATAACATTCCTGTTGTAGGTATTTCCCACTGATAATGTTGCTGTACTGAGAATATTGTTATGAATTGTTTTTGTATATTTAATTTATCTTTGTGATATGCAGTTTAGAGTATGTTTGTATGAAAATCACACTCATAGTCCTGAGCTACCTGCATCTACTTCTGGTATCCATGAAGGAAATGAAAGTTTATAACCAATGTGTTATTTTTTACAGGGGATATAGAAATAAAAGCTGAGAGAGTGGCTGATCGAGGTAAATATTAAATATTATGATAACTACCTAGTTCTTTTAAAATAGTGCCATTATGTTATATCCACTGCTGAACGAAAGCCTCTGCCAAGGAATTTCACAAAACATGGGCCTGAGCTACCTACATCATGGGCTTTAGCTTATTAGGTAATTTAATTTCATTATTATATACTTTAAGAAAACAAATTTTAAAAACTTACAAATGTGGTTTTTAGTTTTTCTCTTGTCTCCCACACCATAGTAAAGTCAAAATCAAGTCAAATATAATATATAGTTAAGTCAAATAATATAGTTATATTAAACTTTATAATCTCGATATTTTTAGGGTTTCGCTGGAACCCTTATATTTTATTCAACTTCATAACAGAAACATTCTCAATTCAATACATAAATACATAATACATAAACACTCACGCCTGTCACCCAGAGGGGTAGGCAGAGACTACGGACTTCCATTTGGCGCGATCCTGACGCACCTCTCTCGCCTCTTTTACATCCATATATCTACGCATACACGCTCGTCGGTTAAGGGTACTCCTAATCTGGCCCATTTTTAATGTATCGCCGATTTGGTCGATAAACCTTCGTCTAGGGCGTCCCTTCCCGACCCTGCCGTTCACTTCTGCAACAAAAATTTGCTTTGTCACTCTTTCCTCGTTCATTCTTTCTACATGACCAAACCACCGAAGCATTCCTTTCTTAATCCTTGTCACAACGTCATCTTGCAAACCACACTTTTGTCTTATCACACTATTTCTCACCCTGTCATTCAGATTCAGCCCTAGCATACTCCTTAAGGACCTCATTTCTACAGCATTTATTCTACTCTCATGCTTCTTCTGCCAGACCCAACTTTCACTACCATACATTAAAGTAGGGACTAACACAGCATTATGAATTGCCATACGTGCCTTAGTTGACACATTCTGACTCCTCATAATAGCGTGTAGAGCCCCATTCACTCTATTTCCTGTGTTCACTCGTCGTTCTATATCCTTGTCATATCTACCATCCCTGCTAAATAAACATCCCAAATATACAAACTCCACTTGCTCAATCAACTCCTCTTCTATTCTTATTTCACATAAAGTTTTACTTTCTTCTCTTTCAAAAACCATCACTTTCGTCTTACTTGCGTTCACTTTCATACCCCTTTCTTTCAATGACCAATTCATTAAAGTAACCATCATTTGCAACTCGTCCGCCGACGATGCAAATATGACTTGATCATCGGCGTACAAAAGGCATTTGACGGTTGACTCACCCATTTTTCAACTTTCAAAGTTTGCAAACAACTGTCCATAAATAGGTTAAACAGCCACGGGGAAGCCACACATCCCTGCCTGACACCTTTATGAATGCCAAACCAGTCCGAGTAGACCCCGTTGATCCTGACACAAGCACTAGAGTCCCTATAAAGAGACCTTAATGCCTGTATCAAGCCAGCGCTGAACCCAAATGAGTTCAGTGTTTGCCATAACACATTCCTGTCCACTCTGTCATAAGCCTTTTCCAAGTCCATGAATGCACAAAAAACTTTCTGGTTTTTGGCCAAAAACTTCTCCGTTATCATGCGCATGGAAAAGACTTGATCCGTACACCCCATCCCCTTTCTAAATCCAGCTTGCACATCCCAAATTTTTCCATCAGTTTCTTCCATAACTCTTTCAATTAACACCTTAGCATACAGTTTACCCACAATGCTAAGCAAGCTGATACCACGGTAGTTTTTACAGTCCTGCTGCGACCCCTTTCCCTTATATATTGGGACTATTACGGCTTTGCACCAGTCTTCCGGTACCCGCTTCAGTTCCCAACACAAATTAAATAAGGTGTACAGCAGGCCTGCAACCACACCCTCACCAGCCCTTAGCATTTCGAGTGATACTCTATCATATCCGGCTGCCTTATCTGCTTTCATGTTTTTCATTGCTTTCATTATTTCATCTACATTTATCTCCCTACCTCTCTCCACTTCTTCCGGAATTTCTATTTCACTTGTTTCAGATGACTCTTCACTCTTAAACACGCTTTCAAAGTATTCCTTCCATCTCTTTAAATTCGAAACTTCATCATTCAACATGCAGCCATTCTCGTCTCGTATGTAGTAGCATTCATTCTAGGCTATTTTGAATTTCCCCTGGCAGTTCTTACGAGCTTCCGGAACATTTTAATATTTTCCTGGAAGTTATCAGATATCCTTCTATCATTTTTATCTATTCTTTCTTGCTTTTTCCTTTCAACAACTTCTTTTACTCTCTTATTTATACGTCTAAAGTTTGCCTTTTTTCTTTCAATCTCATCATTCATACCGCCAGAATTACCAGCTTTAGTTGCTAGTAAATCTAGCCATGCTCTCTTCTTTGCTTCAACTTCCACCCGTACCTCATCATCCCACCACAACGTATTACTTTTCCTTTCATTCGTTCTCTTACTTACACCACATACTTCGGTGGCTACATCCACCAAAACTTTCTTAATATTATTCCATACATTCTTCAATTCTAAATCATTCATACATAATTCATTCAACCCACCTATATTTTCCCTCAGTCTGTATTTATACTTCTCTTTCACACCTTCATCTTGTAACCTCTCTATTCTTATACGCTGTAACGCAGTGGTAGACACAGATGTCCGATGCCGCCAACGTTTGAATAGACCATTAATTCGGCATAATACCAAGTAATGATCCGTCCCTACACTGGAGCCCCGGTAAACCCTTGTATCTACCACTGCGCTCCTCATTCTTTCATCCACAATTATAAAATCTATCATGCTTCTATCATCCCCTCTTTCCCATGTATACATGTGAATCCTCTTATGGCGAAAGAAAGTGTTTGCCACAAAAAGATTCTTTTCCACACATACGGTGAGGAGGTCTTCACCATTCTCATTTATTCTTTCATCGCCAAACGTTCCTAATATCCTTTCATAACCAGACCTCTTCACCCCAACCCTTCCATTAAAATCTCCTAACATAATAATATTTTCATTTTCCTTACATTTCATCAACACCAGCCTTACCATGTCCCAAAACTGCTTTCGGATATAAGTGGGCTTAGACATATCTGGGGCGTACACCCCTAGCACAAACAACTTCTTTAAGCCCACTTTCATTCGTATCCACAGCAGCCTTGGGCTAACACATTCATACTCTTTCACACATTGACCCATTCTTTCTGAAAGGATGACACCGACTCCCTGGCATGCCTGCTCGGTCTCGTCTACTCCAGACCATTCTCAATTCAACTGTGTTCTTATTGTATTTTACTTCCTGATATTTGGCGGCAGAAATAAGTAAGTCGGTGGTAATTACTATGATGGGCTTCTAGGTAGGAAAGGAGTCCTACCACCTAGAAGTCTTTAAAATAATTTTAAGGCGCCATAAGTCCGCTTCTAGTACATAAGCCTAATTTTAGAAATATTAATGTGATCAGCATTTAATATTTTGAAACTAATAAAGACAATACCTTGTGCCACACTATAAATTAATTGCCCAATTTTTCTTCAAACTCTCTTTTTAGGGATCCGTAGATAAATAACAAGAAACCCTTATAGTTTCGCCATAACCGTCCAAAGGTACCTCCCATATATTTAAAGCGGGATGATTTTTTTTAATCAACTATTCCATCGTATCCATGTTGTTGAATAAGTCTTTCAATAATATTGGGGATATATAACAACATTTTATCAATTCAGGGGCCCGTTTGCAATATATTATTTAATTTTAAAGTGGTATATTTGTTAGAGTTATAGCATTTTGATGTGTGTGGTAGAATGTCTATGGGTCATAGTCTGGTAAAATATAATTGAGTCTAAACGTACACAGTGAAGTTAACATTTATTCACAATAGACAGGTACACAAAATATAATATGAAATTGAAGGAGTAAAAAGCGATAGTATAAAACAAACTATAAAAGTTTTGTATTCGTGAGACCATAAATGAACACGACGGTTAGCCAGGCAACATGGGCTTCGCGTAAAATGTCGGTAAGCAGGCTTGCAAACGCAGTGCAAGGCGTTGAATACGCACGCGCAGGGAACTTCATTCTAACGGTATCGTTGTTTAGGGCGTTTCCAATGCACAAGGCAATTGTAAATAATATTTTATTAAATACTAGCTGACTAGGCAGACGTTGTTCTGCCCTTTCCGAACGACCATTTGCTTTCCTAAGAAAACTCCTGTAATTAGCAATAAAAGAATTGAGGGTCACTTATCGGGATAAAAACTATCTCTCAAGTTGGACCAAACTGCACACAGTGTGCAAAATTTCATTGAAGTCAGTTCAGTAGTTTAGGAGTCCATCGCGGACAAACAATGTGTCACGTAATTTTTATATAGGTATACAGATTTGTTTGTATTGTGATTATTTTGTAACTATGTAATTTATGTTATTTTGTGATTGTAAATAGTTAGATAGAAGTAAAGACATAAGTTAATATCTGTATAAAATAATTTTGTAAATATATAAAATAAGTTATATATAAGTATTTGTATTTATGTATAATACACAATAAGTAGGCCACAGAGTCATGTGTCCCCCCCCCCCCTACCAACTTGTGTTGTTTTTGAAAGTGTGAAAAGTATGCACGATAGTAGTGTATATAATGAAGTTAAAAGGAAGACTATCATAGTTCAGTAGGCTTAACAAGTTACTAACTAACTACTAACTTAGTAAGTACAAATTACCTAAAACTAGCTGCATTATAACTTTGTAATGTTATTGTAAACGAAAAAATAAACATATTTTAAAGACAATAACTTATGCATTACTAATATCGCCTTAGGTTTTCCTTTGCGGGTAGGTAGAACGTAGCAGAGGAGACCGATCCAACATACCACTTTCACTTAGTTTTTAGTTAGTACTTATTGTAGGCCTACAAATTCATTCATGGTACTTTTGGTTTATGCGGGCGACCCTCAATATGGCTTGGGCAGTAGTGGTTTAGGGGAAGATTTATTTCGGTCACGTATATCTTAGGGTTGCACTACGAACTATGACCTGACTAGGATTTTTGTACGTACTTGACATGTGAATGATTTGATGTAGATTGTATTACATTCAAATTTTATTTTATTTTTTGCATACCACTCCCTTAAGTCTGCTTGAAAAATGATTTCTTTAGTTACCATTTTTCTTTAGTTACCTTTTTTTTAGTCGTTAAAGCGGTCAAACCGCGAACTCACTTAATATGCTCATAGTATCAAGAAGGCTCTTTCTAAATGTGCTCATAGTATCAAGAAGGCCCTTTCTAAGTTCATATATTGTGACTTGCAACTACGGAACCCTAAATTGTGCGTGTCCCGTGCGACACACACTTGGTCGGTTTTATTATCCTTATATAACGATTACGTTCTACACCCAAGTTGATGCTCTTACGCATGCATGCACTAACGCAAGCATGTAAGTTGCTGCCATCGTTTATGTTTTACAGAATGCAAGAAAATAGTTGGAAATAGTATACCGCCTCTTGATTTACACATAATTGGTGGTGAAGCAGCATCGCTTGGAGAGTTTCCTCACATGGTAAGTATATTTTTATATGGTAAGCTTTATTTATACTTTATAGAAAAACAGTGATTCTGTGATATAAAAAGAATTACATTTTTTAATATTGCAATTTTCTTTCAAGTAACCAAAAATTGTGTTACAGCTTTGGCACCCTCGTGGGCGCTGTTTGGACGGGTAAAATGTGTACTCATCCGACGTCTGCATTTGTTTTGAGACAGAAATGTAAATAAAGTGATTAAATAAATACTATAGTATACTATTTAATTTACAGGTGGCACTTGGATATGAAAAACCCGAAGGTTATGACTTTCTGTGCGGCGGAACTTTACTGTCTGATAGTTATGTCATTACAGCTGCTCATTGTGTGGACACCATAGACCAGTGAGTTCTTAGTATAATTGATATATGGCCGTAGTGTTTTAAAAGAGAAGTAAGTTCAGAATTGTCAACAATTTTTAATGTTATTTTTTATATAATAAGGGTGACAAACCAACACAGTCCACCTGATAGTAAGTAAATGCTGTGGCCCATAGATACCTACATTTCCATTCTTCCAGAAGCAGCATTGAGCTGCTATTTTATGCTGGTATTCTGTGTGAGTATGGTCCTTCCCAGGTCGAGCCGATCCATTCGTGCTGCAATCTTCTTCTTCTATATATAAATAAAATAATAGAGGTATGTAGTTGTGCGCGCATCACGGAAAAACTACTGGATAGATTTCAATTAGGTTTTCTAAGTTTTATTTATTAGACACTTTGCCTTGGATATCTTCATTCAGTATAAAGTTATTAAAGTTTTAAGAAACAACGATTTTTATAAGCACTACGTGTTCAGTGATGTGTTTTCTTGCCGCGGAGAAGTGGGGCAAGCGGTGTAGCACGCATGCGTAGGAGAGGGGAAGGCTCTTACCTCTGCCTCATGATAAAATTAAGGCCAACCGCGCACTATTTGCGCGACTATACTGATGCTGTTCCTTTGTACTTTGATCAATTGCCGCCCGTAGTTACCTATAGTTTTCTCAGTAATTTTTCACCTTTTGTACACGCCCCTAGCTGCCCCAATAAAGGTAGACGGGACTAGGGCCCATGAGTAATCCCATCGACGGGCAACAAGGGACGGGGCCCGACGGCCTATGGAGACTTATTATTCTACACAATAGATATAAGGCTAGGTAAGTAAATAGTACGTACCTGGTTCCGAAGCTAAGACTGACCCCAAGGCTCGGTCAGGCGGTAGGTAGGTGCATGTAAGTAGGGTGTTAGAAGGTGTGTAAAATGTGAAACCTGACTTAATCCTTTTAAGCGGCAGCAGCCCTGACTCCGGCACCGCCACACGGTGTGGTATCCTCCAGGGGCGTCACCTCGATGTCACTCAAAGTCTAGCGTCCCTTAGCACAAATCTATAATCTAATACGAACGCTGTTTCTCGCGGGTCACAAAGCTTAGCGTTTTAACCGACACAGGAAACTATCTCCGAGTTACATCAAATGCCACAAGCAACTCGTCGACGCAAATTAATATTGTCAAAGCACTTCAACCGGCAATCACTATACAATTTACGCAAATTACTTGCCAACGAATTAAGTTAATCAATCAAAATATTACGACTTCGTTATCGCGTGAACGCACTAAAGATAACCAAACATTAGAAGCGAAAACCCCAATAGTAAATTAAACGCGCACAAAGACTCAAAATTCTAGACCACAAAACCAAAAAAACTGGTCACGCGAAATCGATGCAGCGGTCACCAAAATATGCCAATCGCCCGCGCCGCTGCTGTTAAGCTACTGGTTCCTAGCCCACCAGGCCGAACGCAGGGAAGCGGCATATCGTCGCCCCCCCCCCCCCCGGCGGCGCGCGCGTCACCTCACACCATCGGGCGATGCGCTAAGTCAAAGGCGATTGGATGCCGTTTCAAATGACCATGTTTGGGCCTAAATACCTTTAAATAACTAATTTTCATATAATTCGTATACTTACTAGTATATAATATAGCTGCAGCATGGCTCTACCACGTCAAACGTGTGTGAAACGTCTACAATAAGAAACTAAATTGTAATTCTTATTTTCAGTTTAATTACAATTGTGTTTAGACATACGAACTTTAAAAAAAAATGCGTGGGCTCGCCCTAAATACACGTACAGTACTGCACTCCCTCTTCAGTATCTTTAATTCCGTCCTGTGATTTAGAACATGGAAGAAATTTTGTACGTATCTTGGTTTTGTGCTGCAGCTCAGCTACAGACTTTGCGTCATCGCTTTCAGAAGTGCTGATTCAACAGTTAAACTGAGTAACGTGCTCAGCAAATACGTTGGGTTTTTAGTATTGACTATGTTAAGTCTACCTCCCATAGTAAAGCACGATCACCATCTGCATGCCTCGATTAATAATAGCAGACAATTGATTAAATTTGTCTATCCAATTCACATCTGTTCCGTTTATTACTTATGTGTTACAGAATTCGACCAACCATAGTGCGTATGGGTGTCGTGGAATTAGAAGATAGCAAACGCAACAACGAGTCGGACGTGGACGTATCAGAAATAATAACACAACCAAAGTACACCAGGCGTCAAAAATATCATGACTTAGCTCTATTAAGGTACTTGGGACTGATTTATTCATTCTTTCATCATAAAAAAATATTGTTTGTTTGTCCCGTATGCGTTACTATACTGTTTGTCTGATTACGATGAAGCTTTGTTATTGTGTGCGTGCCCGCAAAGCGCAAGCAATTAGATGATAAAATTTTTAATGAACGGTATGGCAGCGCATAAAATACGGACAAATGTTTTTTTTTTTTTAAATTAGATATCGAAATTTTGACAAAATAAATGATCTATGATTTCCTTAAATCTAAATAAAGACGAGTTATTCTGTGCGTGCCCGCGAAGGCTTCTAACAAAAGAAATAATATTGTTTATTTTCTATGTGTTCCTATACCATTAATTCTATTATGATAAAACTCACTAAGTTACGGTGAGGCGCGCCTGCGACTGTTTTTGCCAAAAAAGAGCATAACAAACACATACCGGGTACAGCCAGCAGTTATATGTATACTGAACAACCCTTCTAGAGTATACTCGAGCAACTGTGTTCGGGGCCATCACTACATTAAAAAAAAAACAATAGTTTCTATAATATGCTTATAATTAACTGCATACATATAAACTATTTTATTGTCCGCGGATTCTATCTTGGCCGGGCTGAAGTTGGCTCTTGCGCATGTACAGACGCTAGTCATAGAGATGTGCCATTTTATATTCGCTCCTAACATCGGAGACGAGTTTGTTTTGTTTATATCGATTATTGAAAATTATTATAATGAAAATATCTTTATGTATTTCATTAAAACAATTATCTATTAAAGAATTACGATACCTTCGCCGGAATGTTCATATACTTTCTTTACTTTTTTGTGTACTATTTCATCCGAAATAAGGAACAATTTTGCGTTTAGTCGTATTTTGCGTTCTATAGCTTGGCTTTGAATACTCGACGAATTACAATAATGTGGGTTTAAATAGAGGTTTTAAGAAATAAAATATAAAGAAAATAATTGAAATTAAAAATAGAAAGTAATGGATATTATGTCAACTTGATTATTTATTTGCTTTTGATTATCGTACTAGATGTTTGCTCTGAAACCCTCTCAGAAATGAGACGAGGACTGTGCCCTGCAGTGGGACATATAGGCTGTAACTTTAGATGATACTAGATATACATATATGGTATAATAGGTACTAGATACCAGCCGGGCTATTCACAATCTTCTCTGAAAGCGAAAACGACTCGGATTCGATAACTTCTCGCACCGAAACCAATAAACGCTATTCACATTTAATGTTCGGATAAAGGTCATACATCCCATAACTATTGTATCGTCATTTAGTTACATGCATTTACGAATCTTGTAGATAAATAGGCATTTTGTATTTTTTTAGAGTAACGCCTGAACAGAAACATAAGGCAATATGTTGGTGTTAGCCATTGATATCGAATACAAAAAATATATAATTTAACTATATAATAAATAACAAAAAAACTGAGATATGTCTCGTTTCACAAAGCAGCATATATATATGTATATATATATATATATATATATATATATATATATAAGCAAATATATAAGCAGTTATGAACATACGTTTAGCAACTTTATTTATATTTTATTATTATTAAAATCCAGCTTTACGATTAAGTGCAAATATTGAAGTAATTATATGAAAATACGTCCTATAGATAATTGTAATAAATTTTTATTACCTACCTTATAATTAAAAGGGTTTATTTATCTCTTCTAATTATCAATATTCAAGTTTTCGCCAGCCTCAGAGCTCTCGTGAAGTTTCCGATGCAAACTGTCACAATTATCGAAAACAATCGTCAAAGAAGTACGGTCACGCCCCATAGAAAAAAACCCAGACCCGACAGAAACGAGACATATCTCAGTTTTTTTGTTATTTATTATATAGTTAAATTATATATTTTTTATATTGTATATCAATGGCTAACACCAAAATATTGCCTTATGTTTTTATTCAGGCGTTACTCAAAAAACATACAAAATGCCTATTTATCTACAAAATTCGTAAATTCATGTAACTAAATGACGATACAATAGTTATTGGATGTATCTAAGTGACCTTTATCCGAACGTTAAATGTGAATAGCGTTTATTGGTTTCGGTGCGAGAAGTTATCGAATCCGATTCGATTTCGCTTTCCGAGACGATTCTGAATAGCCCGGCAGGGCTCGGAAACCGGTTCTAATTCCTAACCGGTTTTTACGGAATACCGGTTTTTCACAAATTTAGGTTTAGGTTCCCTTACCCCGCGCCATAACTACCAATTAACGAGATAATTAGTATAAATCACATTGATATCTACGATCTTGTATTGAATTATAAAAGAGAATTATTAAAAGTGCAGCCAAGTTTTCTCACGCCTAAAAATCAATCAAAATAATATAGTAATCACTTTCGAATTTTTTACAAACTTTCATACTCTACGAATATGGAACTATTCAAATAAATAAAATTGAAGTGTCTGTTCGTAACGTCAAAATATCAGATTTTAACTAAATACGTATTATGAAAGTATATAATAAAAAAAAAAATTTTGTCCGTCTCTATGTGTGTTTGTTCCGGCTAATCTCCGAAATGGCTGGACTGATTTTGACGGGCCTTTCACTGATCCGATTGCCGTTGGTCTAGTGGTTACTAGCGCGACTGTGAATCAGGGTTTGATCCTGGGTTTGAATCCCGGGTCGTGCCAAGTACCGTTATTGGATTAATTTGGGTATAATGAGTGTTCTAGAAACCACATTGATAGTCTTATTACAGCCCTCAATCAAGCACTTAGATTTTTGGGTTTCTTCGTCGTATGTTTTCTTATAGAAAAGTGGGCAAACGAGCATGCGGGTCACCTGATGGTAAGTGAATACTGCCGCCCATGAACAACCGCAACACCAGGGGAATTGTAGGCGCGTTGCCGGCCTTTCAGAAAGGAGTAAGCTCTTCTTGAAGGTCACTAAGTCGTATCGGTCCGGAAAAATCGCCGGTGGTAAACAATTCCACAGAGAAGTTGTACGAGGAAGAGAACTAGTAAAACGCACAGTGGTGGCCCGTCCAGCATCTAGATGATGAGGGTGGTGTCGTGACTTTTGACGCGATTTGGGTTCATGAAATATAGCGGCTGAGATTAAACCGAACCTCAGAGCAGTCCCCGAGGTAGATGCGATAGAAAATGCAAAGGGATGCAACATTCCTACGCAGTGCCAGTCAATCGGGCGGATCAGAAAGAACTCGGACGTCGACGACTCGAACAACTTTGCGCTGGATGCGGTCAAGTGGAAGGAGCTGACACTGGGGTGCCTCGGCCCAGAGATGAGGACAGTATTCCATGTGAGGCCGAACTTGCGCTTTGTAAAGTTGCAAGCGATGTGCCGACATGAAATACTGCCCCGCCCTGCTGAACACGCCAAGCTTTTTAGGGGCCATTTTGGCCTTCCCTTCCAAGTGATCACAAAACTGCACACTATTCGATATGTCGACACCGATGATTTCGATGCTAGCTGAGGCAGCAAGGGGAGTGCCTTAAAACTGAGGAGATACGACAAAGGGGTTCTTTTTAGCGGTGTACGTGCAAACTTGTGTCTTCTGGGGATTGAACTGGACTAGATTTAGCCGCCTTCAATCCGAGACTTTGTTCAGCAAAGAATCGACTTTATACACAAGTTTGTTCCGGTACTCGGAGATGTTTTCCCGATGAATATTGGCACGGCCGGTGTATATTGCATCACTAGTGCTGTCGTCTTTACCAGTTTGCAACATATCATTGATATGCAGTAGAAACAGCGTTGCTGATAGCACGCAGCCTTGTGGAACACCAGTATTAATAGGCTTGTAATCAAAGCATGCACCGTCTACTACGACCTTGATGCTCCTATCAGCAAGGAAACTGGTGATCCAATTGCACAATATCTTGGGAAGCTTATAGGAAGGGAGCTTTGAAAGAAGCGCTTTGTGCCAGACCCGACCGAAGGCTTTTGCTATGACCAAACTAACGGCCAATGCGTACTACTTAAGACTCTACTGCCTCCGCCCATCTATGATTTAGATAGACCAGAAGATCACCAGCTGATCAACCCCGACGAAATCTGTTTATAATGGACCAAAGCTGTCTTCAGCACAATGGGAGGGACTCCATCAGGCCCACTCGACTTACTGACGTCCAGGTGCGAGTCCTTATTTACTCGTATTTTCAAATACTGCCAATTCGCTATATATCAGTATTATTATGTTTGAACTGAAATAAATTTGAATATACTTTGAAAAATAACCCTGTATAATATTGTTGTGACCAGAATTAAGAAAATAATGCTTTGGTGGTTTAGACAAGTAGGAAGAACGAATGAGGGAAGAGTGATAAAGTAAATTTATGCCGCAAAAGGGAGTGACAGAGTCGGGAAGGGATGCTTTATAAAGAAGTTTATTAACCAATTTTGCGACATATTGAATATGGGCCAAATTAAAAGTAACTCATAGTATAACAGCATAAAATAGCAAATCTTATGGCGAGTGTAGATAAACAAGAACACCCTTTTTTACTGGATACTAGGCATTCTATATTAGGTAGTGCATATTAATTCCTAATCGAGGAGAATGTAGAGGTCAAAGCATCCACTTACCATCAGGTGGACTTTGTGCTCGATTGTCACACTTATTCTGTAATAAAAAATCTTAACAGAAGCACGTACATAGGCTGCACTAAAAGTATCGGGAATGGAATATTTCCACTGTTCCTGTCATATTAAAATCTTTTTAATTGAAAACTCCTTGGTTTTAAAAATCGAATACCATTTATTTATTTAAAAAAAGATTCTCGGTCTTGTCACAAGGTTTTGTCAAACTTGTTTAGTCGTTGAGAAAATGGAATTGACCCGAGAAAATTCAAGAGCGATGATTTATTATGACTTTCGAAGTGGTTTAACACAAAAACAGTGTGTTGACCGGATGATTTCTCCATTTGGTGATGAAGCCCCATCCAAAACCACAATTTATCGCTGGTTTGCTGAATTTCAAAGTGGACGTGTCAAGCTCAGTGATGATCCCCATTAAGGTCGTCCAAAAACTGCAGTCACCCAAGAAAACGTTGATACTGTGCGTAAGCTGATTGAGGAAGATCGACATGTGACATACCGCGAAATTCAGGCAACTTTAGAGTCAAATACAAATAATCTTGCATGAACAATTAGGTGTAAAAAAGTTGTTTTCCCGATGGATACCGCATTCGCTCTGTGAAGAGCAAAAAGCGGCTCGCGTTACTTGGTGCGTCAGAACTCTCGAAAGATTCCATGCAGGATCCTCAAATGCTGTATACAACATCGTATCAGGTGACGAATCCTGGATATACGCGTACGAACCCGAAACAAAAAACCAGTCACGAGTTTGGGTGTTCGAAAATGAGTTAAAGCCAACAAAAATTGTTCGTTCACGGAGTGTTGCAAAAAAAATGGTGGCCACGTTTGTCTCCAAAACCCGGCCATGTTACGACTATTCCTCTTGAGGGACAAATAATGGTCAATGCAGAATGGTATGCTAGCATTTGTTTGTCACAGGTCGTTTATGAACTCCGTAAAGAGAACTGCAACCGCCGCATCATCCTCCATCACGACAATGCGAGTTTTCACACCGCACACAGAACAAAAGTTTTTAGAGCAAGAAAACATAGAATTATTAGACCATCCGCCGTACAGCCCCGCCCTAAGCCCTAATGATTTCTATACTTTCCCTAAAATAAAGAATAAATTGCGTCGACAGAGATCTTCATCACCTGAAGAAGCTGTGGACGCCTACAAAACGGCCATTTTGGAGACCCGAACTTCCGAATGGAATTCTTGCTGCAATGATTGGTTCCATCGTATGGAAAAATGTGTCAAACTTCGCGGAGAATACTTCGAAAAGCAATAAATATATTTATAAATAGTAATGTTGTGTCACTTCCTAGAATCCCGAAATTTTCAGTGCCGCCCTCGTAGGTATAATGATTCAAATTAAAGTGGACTATGCAAATGCAAAATGGTGGCGCGGCGTCGTTGACAATATTTGTAACTATAGCACAGTAATAATGTTCTATGGTTTTACTAACAAAATATTACCTTTAACGAGCAAAATGTTTCAAAGTAATATAATATGAAGATATTTTAATGGTGATGTTATAAGTGTAATATGTTTTAATTCAATGTTTTATTCTCAGGTTAGCTAAACCGATCGAATTCTCAAGCAACCTTAATCCAGTATGTCTGTACACAAGTCTTAACGATCCGAAGATACCACTTACTGTCACAGGCTGGGGAAAGACCAGTAGTACAAGTAAGTTTAAAACAATTCAAAATTTTTATGTTCCTTTTACAGTCTGTCAAATGAACAGACCTCTTCCATGGCTTGCCTTCTAAGGGGGCTATCTGCCATAGTTTATAAACTTGGCAGGCGGGTTTGTAACCGCTCTTTGTTATTTTTATTAAGCTATTTGTTATACACTTTACAAATATAATTAGGTCCCTTAAAAATATAATATGACACTATACTATGCTATTTGGCTGATAACTAATAGATCAATTATTAATTATGTCATCTATGAATAATCTTATTATGCCTAATTTAAAATTAGCCCTGTAAATAAATATTTTTGTAGTCCTAGGAGCCCTAAGAATATTCATATGCAGTGACCTGTTATAGTAATTTAGTTTATATATTTTCTACGTGGTAGAGCCTTGCTGCAGCAATTATTATGTTTGTAGTATGAACCGGGGACCGGGGAGGACCACGCTCTCACAGAATACCATCGTAAAATAGCGGTTTAATAATGCTGAAAGCGTCTACCAGACAGTTGTTAGTCATTCATCGATATTCTACCCCATGAAACATAAATCACACCACGTTGGGTTCGGGAACAACGAGGTGGGCGTGTCCCCCTGAAGAACAGACACAAGAACGTCTGTTGCCCTTTCTGAAAAGAAAGGTTATTTTAGAAGATGACTAAGATTACGGGTCCCTCTGGAGTGGTCCCGGCCTTGACGTCGACAGACTGGACTGGACTGTATATTTTCCTTTTGTTATTAGAAGGTGCAGTAGGAAATAAAACAGTGATTTTATCTTCGTAATTTCCCCGTAGTTGAAACTTTTATTACTTTCCTATCACTTCCCTGTTGCCTTCTTGCATTAAACTATAAAACTGTTAGCTGGTCCCGAACAAATTTCCAAATTACCAGTTTATTATCCTAGTCGCGAGCTATTCGCGAAAGAGCGAGCTAACCGCGCACCGCGCGCCATTTCGACATTTATATCTTAACATTGATTTTCACCATTGCACCCTTGTATTTTACCCCATCTTTATTTCTATAAAACATATGGTTACACAATTTTATTTATAAAAACACCTACAAAGTCTTATCATTATGATATACATTACATCGTTATCACATAAAAACATATTAAGATATTCAACAAAATACATCTATTTTACAGAACATTTTCAAAGTTAGAAATCAATGTTTATTAATAAACATGAATATCTTAACTAATATAATAGTTTTAATTCAAAATTTAAAGGTATTTTACACTTTAATTCGACTTTAATTTTCTAATATAAATCTTGTATTATTTCACTATTTTAAGCACAAATTTAGACACAGCACTGATTTTATTAAAACATGTCCTGAAACATTTATTACTGGTTTCTACACATTTTACTAAAATTATCACAAATTAATAAAGTTAATTTTTTATTTTTATTTTACCTTATTTGGACCCTGTTTTCCCATACAACATGAACAACCAATTACTACACGACCCTTATCATATCAGCAGTAGGTCTAGTGCTTGCTTTGTCTAAATTACAACTGTCTTTGTTCATTATGAAACATTATTTATTTACATATGCTATCCTTATCAGCTATAATGAATCTTGTCTCTTACCACAAGAACAAAATATATTTTCATCTAAAATAAATATCTAATTTAATATAAGACTTTGATCGTATTGCATAGCTGATTACTATGTGATATTCATGACTGTAAATTTAAACTTTCGAATTAACTCTCCACCCGGGGGGGGGGGGGGGGGGGTTGAACCCCGAACTTTCGCTCGATTATATTGAATTTATTTACTTTTAACATAGATTGTCTCTTTATTCGAAGTGCCTTATATAATTTAATAGCAGTAACTTCAAAACTTTTTATGGAATGAAAAATTAAAATATCATTAAGCGTGTCGCCAACAGCTGCTGCGGTTTCGAACGGTGAATGTAGAGAACCGGAGACCCTTTTTACTGGAACAGAGGCATTTCATTTCAGTCCTCAGGGGTGGCAACGCGTCTGCATTTTGATTCTTAATCGAGGATAGATGTAGATGTCCTTGGCCACAGTATCATTTACCATCAGGTGGGCTGTGTGCTCGCTTGTCACCCTTATTCTATAAAAAAAGTTTTAAAACTTTTTTTTTATAGAAGTAAGCTTAATATTATGAAAAATTTAGGGTAACCTGAAAATAATGATATGAGTAATCGCGACGACACCTCGGTAAGATAATCCATCACCATCTGGATGATTAGCGGTCCACCACTGTGCGATTTACCATGAATTTTCTTCCTCGCATGACTTCTGTGTGGAATCGTTTACCACCGGCAATTTTTCCGGACCAATACGACTAGGCTTAGGGACCTTCAAGAAACAAGCTTACTCCTTTTGAAAAGGCTGGCAACGGACCTGCAATTACCCAGGTGTTGCAGTTGTTCATGGGCGGCGGTCGATACTTACCACGTGCTCGTTTGCAGCCTTCTATAAAAAATAAGTATAGAAGAAGGGCTTTCGATAGATACATCGCGCCAAGAATGAATTACTTACTGATTCGGCGGAGTCGAGTTACTCGAGTAAACTGCTACTACTAGCTTGTGTCTTGTTCCTAGTTTTTACTTAGTTTTTAAGAACTACTTTTATTTTTGTGTGCGTACATTGACAGCTATGACGTCACAATATGGCGCCAGGTCTGTCCTATTCTTATTTGAATCGCATAGTAGGACCTATAATGTAGACCACATTTATTGTTACAGGAAGTATTCGCAGCAATATACTGTTGAAAGCGAACGTTACGGTTGTGGCGCGAGAGAATTGCACCAAATCGTATACCTCATGGCGCAAGCTGCCGGACGGTATATCTGACGACCAGCTATGTGCTGGTGACCCGCAAGGCCTGAAAGATACTTGCCAGGTAAAAGAAGTATTGCAACACTGCTCATATTCGCATAAAGACACAGATTGTGATGTTTTCATGGGTGGACCATTAAATGCATCCTAGATGGTATAGGCATTTCTCATTGTTATTGACGCTTCAACGTCTAAGTAGGCAAGAAAAAAATTGAACTGTGTCGCATATATAATATATAGTAATAGGTATTTACCTATGAAATTGCCGTCCTGCAGTACTGGCCATTTCAAATCAAAATAATTTTTGTTTGGCTAAGAATTCTAATTTCAAATTAATTTTCATGTATAAACACGGAATTCTCTTTTTTTTTTCAAAATTAGACATTGGTTTATTGATTAGCGTTATGTTTTCATCTCATTTGAATCTTTTTCGTCCTCATGGATACGTTAAAATTTCGAGTAATTGTGGAATACGAGTACCGTCGTGGTAGCAACGCGGTACAAACGGCACGCAACATCAACGACGTTTACGGTGTCAATATTATAAACAAACGCATCACCTGTTATTGGTTTGCCCGCTTCTGTTCTGGAAATTTTGAAATGAAAAATGAACCCCGTGGTCGTCTGAAAACTTTAGTCGACAATGACGAATTAAAGCCGATTGTGGAAGCTAATGATATTCAATCTACGGCTAAATTAGCAACAGCTTTCGACGTTAGTATCAAAAGAGTATTGGACTATTTGCGTCAAATTGGCAAGGTAAAATAAAAAAGCTTGACAAACGGGTGCCCCACGAACTCAATAATCGCCGTTGCGAAGTACGCGTCGAGTCGAGTGTCTTGCATTGCTCAAAAGGCACACATACGAAGGAATTTTGAATCGCATTGTTACATGCGACGAAAAATGGATTTTGTTTGACAATCGCAAGCGCTCAGCAAGTTGGTTGTATCCTGGTTCAGCATCTAAACAATGCCCTAATTGAAAACTTACCCCTAGAAAAGTGATGGTCACTGTTTGGTTGTCTAGCGCCGGTGTGATTCATCACAGATACTTACTAAACGGAATGAGCATTACTGCAGATGTGTACTGTGAAGAACTGAACACAATGATGGAGGAGCTCGCACGTCTCCAACCAGCTTTGGTCAATCTCACGTCCCAGTTGCTTCTGCACGACAACGCGCGACCTCATACTGCACAACAGATGGTTTCCAAGTTGCAAGAGCTGGGGTTGAAAGCTCTCCGTCATCCGCCGTACTCACCAGACCTTGCGCCTACAGACTTCTACTTTTTTCAGAATTTCCGAGGAGTACTACAAAGTTCATTTGAAGAATTTGTTGCCTCCCGTCCAGCTGATTTCTTCACGAAGGGCATCAATAAACTGTCACTGCGTTGGCAAAAATGCATCGATTGCATGGGTGATCACTTTGATTAATAGAAATAAAACATATAGAAAAAAAACGTTAACTTATTTCATAAAAAACGGCAATTTTATAGGTAAAAACCTATTATTTCCCCAGTATACTCCAAAAACAAATAAAGTTAACAACAATATTATAATTCATCAAACTCCTCCCCGGGCTTAACGAAACGAGTTGAGTTTACGGTTGCACCACGGTTGATATAAATCATAAACTCTTGGCAATATATTATTCAAAGTATGTGACTCAGAGCTTATATTCAAAGGGAACAAAATTCAATAGTAAACGATCAACTCGATTTCCACCACCACAAGCGCATGTGCTTACTTAACTTTCAAGGAATTCTAAACTCAGTTAACACGCTTTCGGACAATACGACGGACTCTTTCCTGCCTTAAAATTAAAACCCTCTTAGTAATGGTGTCATGTGTCCAACAATAGGACATCATATATTATGTTATTTGACTTTTCATTATGGTAACCGTGAGCTTTTACACTTACAAAATAGTCATAGAAAAACATGTTATAAAGGTTTACTAATTTGCATGTTGAATAAATCATATTTGACTATTATTATTATATCATCATCATCATCATCATCATTATTACAGCCCTTAACAAGTCCACTGCTGAACGTAGGCCTCCCCCAAGGAATACCACAAAGCACAGTCCTGAACCATCTACATCATCGACTTCCTGCATGTCTTACGAAGTCGACACTCCATCCAGTGGGGGGACGCTCTACACTCGCCTGCCGGTACGAGGATGCTACTCTAGAAGCTTTCTTCCCCATTGGTTGTCGGTTCTTCGAGCAAGGATGGAATTACAGCGGAGCTTCTGAGTGCGGGTGGAAAAACAGTACTTGCAGTCTTTCTGCAGGCGTGGAGCAGAAGTGCGGTGGTCTTGTTCTTCAAAAAAGGCAACAACGCTCTCTTGAAGAATTACAAACCGATTTCCCTTCATTTTCGAAAGTCAGTACGAATCAAACTTTACAGAAGACCGAAGAGTACAATCTGCCACTTTGTCTTGCGTATGTGGACTATGGGAAAGCCTTTGATTTCGTCGAAATTTGGGCGGTGCTACAGTCCCTTCAACGGTGCTACAGTCCCTTTAGCGGTGCCAAGTTGACTGTCGGTATATCGAAGTGCTACGATGGCTATCCAAGTACAGTACCAGAGTACGAAACCTATCCAACTTCAGTGAGGTGTAGGACAGGGTGACGTTATATACCCGAAACTTCACCGCTACATTGGAAGAAATTTTCAAGCTAATGGACTGGAAAGGATACGGTATTAACGTCAATGGCGAGTACATTACTCACCTTCGATTTGCCGACGATATAGTCCTTATGGCAGAATCGCTGGAGGACCTAAGCACTATGCCCAATGACCTCAATAGTATCGCCTAACGGAGAGGTCTTAAGATGAACATGGACATGACAAAAGTCATGTGTAACGTCGATGTCATACCTATGCCGGTACTTGTCGGGAGCTCGAAGCTATTAACGAGTATAGTAGTCTCACTAGTTAAATCCAACTTCGACCGAGACCAACAGGGCAGCCGTCGGGAAATTACCATACATCTTCTCGTCAGATATACCTGAACACCTGAAAACAAGATTGTACAACCAGTTCGTGTTACTAGTGATGATCTGTGGATCTAAGACGTTCACTACAGGCCGTATGAGGAACCTCAAGATCGCTCAGTGAGCTATGCTTGGGGTTTCTCTGCGTGATAGACTTAGAAACGAGAATATCCGCAGTGGAACCAGAGTAACCGACATAGCCCAACGTATTAGTAAGCTGAAGTGGCAATGGGCCGGCCATATTACAAATTGAAACAGGTGATAGGCATCAGCATCTTTAAATAATAAAAAACTGGCTACCGCAGTTTTTTTTTAGTATTTTGCCCGTATGCCAACCCACATGGCAAGCGTGGAATGTATGGCAAAATCCCACATATGAGTCAATCTATGGGGGAGGTTATGTTCAGCATTGGACTTTTATAAGTAATGTAATGGATGGATGGAATCATTATCGCAATATTAGGTTCTTATCTATGAAAGCTGTATCTTCCTTTTTTTACCTTGAGAAGGAAAGATATATTATAAATTATGTTATTCTTTGTTTGTTAATCGTCACTTTTTGACATCCTATAACCTACATCTTTGGTATATTTAATGGGATTACAATTTATAGTAATTTTACCTATGCATAGCTCGTAAAATATATAATTGTTAGGTCATTTATTTATAATAATTATTTACTTATTGCTTTAATCGAAGTCAGCTCTGCAGCCAAGCATTCGTCGCACATATTATGTTACGTAAACAAGCCTAGTTCGTTCCCCTCCGGCTCCAACGAAACTGTTAATTACAATTTTAAGTTCTGATTTACAAGGAATAGAAGTGGTCTATAAATCTTCGCCCTAGAAGAAGATTTATCGACCAAATCGGCGATACATTGAAAATGGGCCAGATTAGGAATACCCTTAACCGACGAGCGTGTATGCGTAGATATATGGATGTAAAGGAGGCGAGAGAGGTGTGTTAGGATCGCGCCAAATGGAAGTCCGTAGTCTTTGCCCACTCCTCTGGGTGACAGGTGTGAGTGTTTGTGTGTATTTACAAGGAAACCTGCATATATAATACAAAATAAGGATTTCGAGGACTTGTGGTGTCCGCTAACACGTGCTGGAGCATTTGATCTATCCATCCATTACAGCCCATAAAATTGCACTGCTGAACGTAGGCCTCCCCCATGAAGCATTCTTCATAGAGGTTTTTTTTTGTCACAGTCACAGTTTTTTATAATTTTGAGTTTTTATCAGGAAGACGCTGCTGCCTATCTCCTGTTTCAATTAACAACACTCATGAGACTATATGGGGTAATGGATATTCTTACACCGCCACTACACGGTTATCTCGAGCAGTGCGACGGACTAGTTGTTCTGCTTTCAGAAATACGAGGTACCCTATGAACTGTGAACAGCATTTTGATGACATAAGCTGTAACTAAACTAGTTTAATCAATAGGTTGGAGAATTGAGTCTTGTGTGATAAGTTAAAATTGTTTCTGGTCAGGGCGACTCGGGCGGTCCACTTCAGGGATTAACGGATATTGACGGACATTACCGGCTGGTGGGCGTGACGTCATTCGGGCGCGGTTGTGGCTCGCCTGTGCCCGGCGTCTATACTCGCGTCGCGAAGTACCTCGACTGGATTGAAAGTGTCGTTTGGCCAAACTGATCTAACAATGAATGTCGTTAACCTACATATTACTGTTATTTTGTGTGTGTAATTGATTTTTAATACAACTCTAATATTTTAAATAAAAAATTGTCTGTCTGCCTCAGTGATGTGGCTAAGGTGTTGGTATTGAGCAAGCCTAACTAAGCTAATTATTTTATATCTTAATATAATATATCTTAAATGAATAAAAATTAATGTTTACTTGGTCTTATTTTATGCGCTGCTATACCGTTCGTCAAATTGCGGTAAAACTTTCTCAACTTATTGTTTGGAATTGTGCGTAGGTTATAAGCATAGTACAATTAACTTACAGTAGGTGGCGCGCGTATCGTACCGACAAAATGTAAAAGATATAATATCATTCAATCATTCAACTTCAATGAATGTATTATCATT